ACAAGAAGGGGGGGGGGCGAAGGGAGAGGGAGAAGCAGGCTTCCCGCTGAGCAGGGAGCCTGATGCGGGACTTGATCCCAGGACCCTGGGATCATGACCTGAGCTGAAGGCAGACACTTCACCAACTGAGCCACCCAGGTTCCCCTGTTGTTACCATTTTAACTATTTTGTGAACTATCCCTGCAGGATCTCCTGAAGACAGCCCTGGATTTCCACCAACTGGGAAAGCTTGAATTTAGTGGCATCAGAGGGAATGCCCTGAGTCAGCAGGTCCAGCAAATGTACGACGGATTTCAAGAGATGTACGGGGTCTTCTCAGAGTCCTCCTATGACTGCTTGGACCCCCAGAGCATGGTGAGGCTTGGAAAGGCTAACTTGTAAGCTTTTTTCTCTTTCTCAGATGCCTCCAGGCGGGAAGGTCTGGGTGTTTACTTGCATTTTCCCTGTGTATTTCCTTTGGCCCTGGTTCCCGAGGGAGTCCTCAAGAGGAGGAAAGAGCCAGAGTTGCTGTGTCCAGGATCAAGGACACAGGAGCCCACATGTCACCTGTAGCCGAGGACATCTGAGACTTGTGGGTCCAAGCTTGCAGCAGGAAAAAAAGCAGCAAAAGTCAGTGCAGAGACAGGGAATGGAATGCTGAGAAAGGAGTGGCTGAATTATGGGAGAAGGAATTGCAAGAGTATATGAGGGGACGAGGAGAAAGGAATTGAGCAGAAATCTGCTCTGAGCACCTTCAGACAGTGGGGGGTTAGTTGGCCAAACCCAGAAGATATCACTTTCTATAAATTCCATGAGTCTGAAGCAGGGAAAAAAAAAGGGCGGGGGCAGGTAACAAAGCAAGTTATATACCGTGTGTTTCCTACCAAATGATAAAATAACAACACACTAAATTCTACACACAGGGACATGTACTAAAAGGTTAGCGTGGTTGGGTTTGGGACGGAGAAAAATGCTATGCTTTTCTATTTTTCTTTGTCTTTTTGTATGACTATGCATCAGTGTTGTAACGCAATAATAACAGCTAATGATTGCTCAGATTAGAGATTTGAGTTAACCAAATTTCTTGGGAAATTGGTATGTTCTAAGGGAACACACTTTGGGCTGCCCAATAAAAGACAATAATTGAACGTGCTTACACTCAAAATATATGTATATATTCATCGTTGATCTGAAATTTAAATTGAACTGGGTGTCTTATAACTTTATTTGCTAAATTTGGCAACCAAAGGAACAATGGCTAGCTGCTGTCTCTAACCAATTAAAGTGTACTTCGAAGAAATCATGGGTATTCGTTTAATTGGCTTGCTTTTCTTCTAATGGCCAGATTAGTTTGTTTACACTCAAAAAAACCCCAGGATTTTGAGTTGGGGGAGGAAGGAGTGTAGGTGGTAATGATAGACTAGCCTCATTGCTAGCGCTGTTACTGCCAGGGTGGACTTTGGGGTGGCATGAGCTGGCCTTGGGGCTTCGGGAGGTAGGAGAGGGGAGGGGCTCTAAGAGGGAGCGACACAGTGCCAGCCTCCCATCTGACTCACTTTACCCTTTTGCCTAGTGTCTAGGAAAATAATACTGCATGAATAGGGTAATTGTCTACATGAACAAAAACTAAGCGATGCCAAGGTAAAGTTTAGAAAATTACAGTAAATCCTTGGCATAGCCGATTCAAGGACACAGGGTGTAGTAAAGAGCATAGTGGAAGTGGCCTTGAGGAAATCGTGTTTGTCTTCCGTCCACGTGACATCTCTTCAGGAATTCGAAAATGACGTGTGTGAATTTAACCGAAGAGTAGAAGATCTTGACCGAAGACTGGGGGCTATCTTCAGTCAAGCCTTCGATGATGCCCCTGATTTGGAGCACGCCTTCAAGGTTTGTTCAGTAGGGTGGGGGGTGCTGCTGTGCTCCATTCACCCCCCCACCCTCAGCAAAGGAGGGCAAGGATCCTCTTCCCATTGTTTTGTTCCTTACAGAGAGCAATTATTCCTGTCAGTCCAGTAGAGAGGTATTATGGGTGAACTAGCTAGGGAAAAAGACTGAGCAGAATTGGGCTTCTCAGGTTGATTATTAATGCTTGTCTAGAAACACAGCGATGTAAAAATACTTTTCAAAAGAGTTATCCTGGAGGTGCCTAGCTGGCTTAGTCAGAAGAGCATGCAACTCTTTTTTTTTTTTTTTACTTTAATTTCAGTTAATTTCAAGTTAGTTAACATATAGTGTATTATTCGTTTCAGGGGTAGAACTTAGTGATTCATCAGTTGCATATAACACCCAGTGCGCATTACACCATGTGCCCTCCTTAACGCTGATCACCCAGTTACCCCATCCCTCCACCCCTCTCCCCTCCAGCAACCCTCAGTTTGTTTCCTGTAGTTAAGAGTCTCTTATTTTCCCTCCCTCTCTGTTTTTATCTTACTTTATTCTTCCTTCCCTTCCCCTTTGTTCATCTGTTTTGTTTCTTAAATTCGGCATATGAGTGAAATCATATGGTGTTTGTCTTTCTATGACTGACTTATTTCACTTAGCATAATACCCTCTAGTTCTATCCATGTCATGGCAAGTGGTAAGATTTCATCTTTTTGATGGCTGAATAATATTCCAGTGTGTGTGTGTGTGTGTGTGTGTGTGTGTGTACACCACATCTTCTTATCCATTCATCTGTCAGTGGACATCTCGGCTCTTTCCACAGTTTGGCTATCATGGACATTGCTGCTATAAAGATTGGGGTGCAGGTGCCCCTTCGGATCACTATGTTCATATCCTTTGGATAAATACCTAGTAGTGCAATTGCTGGGTCATAGGGTAGCTCTATTTTCAACTTTTTGAGGAACCTCCATACTGTTTTCCAGAGTGGCTGCACCATCTTGCATTCCCACCAGCAGTGTAGGAGGGTTCCCCTTTCTCCTCATCCTCACCAACATCGGTTGCTTCTTGACTTGTTAATTTTGGCCCTTCTGACAGGTGTGAGGTGGTATCTCATTGTGGTTTTGATTTGCATTTTGCTGATGCCAAGTGATGTTGAGTATTTGTTCATGTGTCTGTTGTCCATTTGTATGTCTTCTTTGGAGAAATGTCGGTTCCTGTCTTCTGCCCATTTCTTGACTGGATTTTTTGGTTTTGGGGTGTTGTGTTTGGTGAGTTCTTTATAGATTTTGGATGCTAGTCCTTTGTCTGATAAGACATTTGCAAATATCTTCTCCCATTCTGTAGGTTGCCTTTTAGTTTTGTTGATTGTTTCCTCTGTTGTGCAGATGGTTTTTGATGAAGTCCCAATAGTTCATTTTTGCTTTTGTTTCCCTTGCCTTTGGAGACATGTCTAGCAAGAAGTTGCTGTGGCTGAAGTCAAAGAGGTTGCTAGGTTCTCCTCTAGGATTTTAATGAATTCCTGTCTCACATTTAGGTCTTTCATCCATTTTGAGTTTATTTTTGTGTATGGTGTAAGCAAGTGGTCCAATTTTATTCTTCTGCATGTGGCTGTCCAATTTTCCCACCACTTGTTGAAGAGACACTTTTTTCCATTGGCTATTCTTTCCTGCCTTGTCAAAGATTAGTTGACCATAGAATTGAGGGTCCATTTCTGGGTTCTCTACTCTGTTCCATTGATCTATCTGTCTGTTTTTTGTGCTAGAACCATACTGTCTTGATGATTACAGCTTTGTAATAGAGCTTGAAGCCTGGAATTGTGATGCCTCCAGCTTTGGTTTTCTTTTTCAACATTCCTTTGGCTATTCAGGGTCTTTTCTGGTTCCATGCAAATTTTAAAATTGTTTGTTCCAGCTCTGTGAAAAAAGCTGATGGTATTTTGATAGGGATTGCATTGAGTGTGTAGATGGCTTTGGGTAGTACAGACATTTTAACAATATTTGTTCTTCCAATCTGTGAGCATGGAATGTTTTTCCATTTCTTTGTGTCTTCCTCAATTTCTTTCATAAGTGTTCTATAGTTTTCAGAGTACAGATCTTTTACTTCTTTGGTTAGATTTATTCCTAGCTATCTTATGGTTTTGGTGCAATTGTAAATGGGATCGATTCCTTGATTTCTCTTTCTGATGCTTCATTGTTGGTATATAGAAATGCAGCAGACTTCTGTGCATTGATTTTATATCCTGCAACTTTGCTGAATTCCTCTGTCAGTTCTAGCAATTTTTTTGGTGGAGTCTTTCGGGTTTTCTACATAGAGTATCATATCGTCCCTGAAGAATGAAAATTTGACTACTTCTTTGCCTTTTAGGACGTCTTTTATTTCTTTCTGTTGTCTGTCTGATTGCTGAGGCTAGGACTTCTAGTACTATGTTGAACAGCAGTGGTGAGAGTGGACATCTCTGTCATGTTCCTGACCTTAGGGGAAAAACTCTCAGTTTTTCTCCATTGAGAATGATATTCATGGTGGGTCTTTTTTATATGGCCTTCATGATGTTGAGGTATGTTCCCTCTATCCCTACTTTGTTGAGGGTTTTGATCAAGAAAGGATGCTCTATTTTGCCAAATGCTTTTTCTGCATCTATTGAGAGGATCATAGGATTCTTGTCCCTTCTTTTATTAATGTGGTGTATCATGTTGATTGACTTGCAGATGTTGAACCACCCTTGCAGCCCAGGAATAAATCCCACTTAGTCGTGGTGAATAATTCTTTTAATGTACTGATGGATCTGATTAACTAGTATCTTGTTGAGAATTTTGGCATCCATATTCATCAGGGATATTGGTCTGTAACTCTCCTTTTTAGTGAGGTCTTTGGTTTTAGAATCAAGGTAATGCTGGCTTCGTAGAATGAATTTGGAAGTTTTCCTTCCATTTATATTTTTGGGAACAGTTTCAGAAGAATAGGTATTAAATATTTAAATGTTTGGTAGAATTCCCCTAGGAAGCCATCTGGCCCTGGACTCCTGTTTGTTTGGGAGATTTTTGATTACTGATTCAATTTCTTTGCTGATATGGGTCTGTTTAGATTTTCTATTTCTTCCTGTTTCAGTTTTGGTAGTTTATATGTTTCTAGGAATTTATCCATTTCTTCCAGACTGCCTAATTTGTTGGCATATAATTGCTCATAATATTCTCTTATAATTGTTTATATTTCTGCAGTGTTGGTGTGATCTCTCCTCTTTCATTCATGATTTTATTTATTTGGGTCCTTTCTCTTTTCTTTTTCATACGTCTGGCTTGGGGTTTATCAATTTTGTTAATTCTTTCAAAGAACCAGCTCCTCGTTCCGTTGATCTGTTCTACTGTTCTTTTCATTTGTATAAAATTGATTTCTGCTCTAATCTTTATTATTTCCCTTCTCCTGCTGGACTTAGGCTTTATTTGCTGTTCTTTTTCCAGCTCCCTTAGGTGTAGGATTAGGTTGTATATTTGAGACGTTTTGCTTCTTGGGGAAGGCCTGTATTGCAGAGTACTTCCCTCTTAGGACAGCCTTTGCTGCATCCCAGAGGTTTTGGACTGTCGTGTTTTCATTTTCATTTGCTCCCATGTATTTTTTAAATTCTTTAATTTGCTGGTTGACCCATTCATTCTTTAGTAGGATGGTCTTTAACCTCCATGTATTTATGGTCCTTCCAAATTTTTTCTTGTGGTTGACTTCAAGTTTCATAGTGTTGTGGTCTGAAAATATGCATGGTATGATCTCAATATTTTTGTATCGTTGAGTCCCAATTTGTGACCCAGTATGTGATCTATTCTGGAGAATGTTCCATATGCACTCGAAAAGAATGTGTGGTCTGCTGCTTTAGGATGAAATGCTCTGAATGTATCTGTGAAGTCTGTATGGCCTAATGTGTCATTCAAAGCCCTGGTTTCCATGTTGATCTTCTGTATAGATGATCTGTCCATTGCTGTGAGGAGGTTGTTAAGGTTCCCTACTATTATTGTATTATCATCAATGAGTTTCTTCAAGTTTGTTATTAATTGACTTATATATTTGGCTGCTCCCAAGTTAGGGGCATAAATATTTACAATTGTTAGATCTTCTTGTTGGATAGACCCATTTATTATGATATAGTGTCCTTCTTCATCTCTTATTACAGTCTTTGGTTTAAAATCTAGTTTGTCTGATATAAGTATGGTTACTCTGGCTTTCTTTCGATGTCCATCAGCATGATAAGTGGTTCTGCACCCCCCTACTTTCAATCTAGAGGTGTCTTTGGGTCTAAAAGGAGCCTCTTGTAAGCAACATATCAATGGGTCTTGTTTTTTATCCATTCTGATACCCTGTGTCTTTTGATTAGAGAATTGTAGGCCACTTACACTCAGAGTAATTATTGAAAGGTACGAATTTAGTGCCATTTTATTACCTATAACGTCACTATTCCTGTATATCGTCTCTGTTCCTCTCTAGTCTTTGTTACTTTTGGTCTCTCTTTCTCATGGAAAGAGCATGCGACTCTTGATCTTGGGGTCGTGGGTTTGAGCCCCATGTTAGGTGTAGAGATTACTTAAATAAACTTTTTTTTTTAAAGGGTTTATTCTGGAATGCTCTCTTTGGGCCTTATCAGTAGGATGGCCATTAAAAGTGGAGACATCTGCTATGGTCGCCACCCTGAATCCATGGCTCTGTTGCACCCTGCTGTTTAAGCAGTGCTGCCAGGTTGATTCAAGCTGGAGCAGACCCCGAGTAACTGGTTATAGGAGTCAGCTACTAGCAACCAGAATAAGAAGACTGTACCCTTGGCCTTTATTGCAGGGCAGGAGTAATACGGAAGAAGAATAGGGAGGCGGCTTAGGATGATGAGTAGACAAATGGCTGCATAGTGACTATTCTGAGTGAGACATGGCATGAGACATGACACTTTTGTAGCACATGATCGACCTTCTATAAACTACAAAAGAACTTACTCTGTAAAGGCTTAAGGATTACAACCAGGATTGGTCAGTGGCATTTACCAGGAGGCAGATTTTGGCTATTTAAAAGGTGGAATGGGGCGCCTGGGTGGCTCAGTCGTTAAGCGTCTGCCTTCGGCTCAGGTCGTGATCCCGGGGTCCTGGGATCGAGCCCCGCATCGGGCTCCCTGCTCGGTGGGAAGCCTGCTTTTCCCTCTCCCACTCCCCTTGCTTGTGTTCCCTCTCTCGCTGTATCTCTCTCTGTCAAATAAATAAATAAAATCTTTAAATAAATAAATAAATAAATAAAAGGTGGAATGGACTTTCTTGAGAAGTGGATAAGTTTCCAGTCACTGGAAATGTCCTCAGGTAGCTTCAGTGACCAGTGGGACAATCACAGAAGAGGCTCAAACCTCAGATGGGTGAGTCCGCGCTATCCTAGGATACCAGGTAACCCAGCGTGCCAGGCTTCGTTAGCCATTTAGTATAGATACACACAACCTTTTATAAATAGTGTGGCTCCCTAAATAATATGGGAACACTAGTAGGATTCCTCTCCAAGCATTTGAACTCATTCCAGAAGTTAGTTCCAGAATTAGTTCTTGCTCCCACCCTCAAATTTTAGCCTTCCACATTCTCCCCAATACCCAGCCCACCTAGCTTCTTCACCCTCCACCTCTGTTTTAGGTCTTTTTTTATGGAGAACTTCACCTCTCTGACATCTTTAGTTTTCTCTTTTTTGGCCCTTTACTCAGATTCTTTCAACACATCAGGGTTTGACAGGTAATTTAGCGGACAGGACTCCTTCCCCTTTAGAAGCAAAGGAGAGAGGGAGAGAGGGGTGTCTAGGTGGCTCAGTCAGTTAAGCATCTGACTTTGGCTCAGGTCATGATCTCAGGGTCCTGGCAATGAGCTCCGCGTTGGGCTCCCTGCTTCTCCCTCTCTCTCTGCCCCTCCCCCAACTTGGGCACGCACTCTCTCTGTCAAATAAATAAAATCTTAAAAAAAAAGTAAAGGAGAGGGGGCACACTATGAATATCCACCTATTCATAATTATTGATAGAGTCACAATAACAATTTTTGATCCTCTTCTGTTGGTGGACATATGAAAGAAAAGCCAGGACACAGGATGTGCGTAACCTTAGAAAGGGTGAATCTGTGACTTTTTCTTCTTCTCTGTGTCCTCTGCAGCTTCTGGATATAGCAGGGAAACTCCTGGAAAGACCGCTGGTAGCACAAGATGCATCTGAAAAATACTTGCTGCTCATCCAAATGTTCATCAAAGACCTGGATACAGTGAGGGCGATATACAGTCAGCGTGTCCAGGAGGAGGCAGAACTTGGTAGGTCTGTTGCCTGCAGATTTGGATGGGGGTAGTTGTGTTACCAGAAAGGGTGCAACTCGCTCCTTTTATATCTGTGAAATGGGCACGAGAGATCCATGATATTCTCCAAGAAAAGAAAGAGCAACCTTCTTACTCAGAATTTCAGACCATCTTGGGTAATTGTAGAATTCACTGAACTGTGCATTTCCCTGTGTCTGGGGCTGAGATTGGCAGCCAACCCAGAGCAGTGAGGTCTTGCTTGCCTCTGGATGAGACCTTAGCATGATGTAGGAGTTGACCCTTGGTCAGTGTTGCCAACGCTGCTTCATCTCAGACATACTTCAGTTCCACGGTAGAGTTTTACATGCCCAAGAAAAGTTTCTGATCCCTTCCAAGGCCATAGCAGCCATGCTTCTGGAGAGAGGAACCAGCAGGAGCCCGACAAAGGGCGGCACCATGCCAAGGTGTGATTTCTCCATTTTTATGGCAATTCTTAGGTGCCCTGTCTTATCTGATTGGAAGTCAAACACAAGTCCAGTTCAGCTCTACAAACATTTCTTGAGTCCTTGTTGGGTGCAGGACACATTTGTGGGCACTGTAGGCAGAGGCAGTCCAGCGTAAGGGATAAATGAATTAATCCTGAAAGGAACACATCAGTATGAATGAACACGGAGAAGTAGTGTTCAACTTGCATCATAAAGAACCGTAATGGCGTAAGATGGCTTGTGGCTGGGAGATCTGAGGGAGCACGTGTGGAGCAGATGGCCTTGAGCCAAGCCCTGCAAGGTGGGGGGATGGATGGCCAAGGAGAAGTGGCGAAGGCCTCTGAAGCAGAGTATGAAGGAGAGGATGTGGAAGGTGACCGGTCGGACCTGCCTATAGCCGAACAAGGTGTATGGAGGGAGGTTAGGTGAGCCATGGAGTTTGGGGCTAGATTTAGGAATCTGGAATTCATTATTCAGGCACCAGGAACTTTTCCAAGGTTTTTAAGCAAGAGAGTAGCAGGACCACTATGTGGATAAGCAGGTTTCCTAGCGAGGTCATTAAGAACTAATTCCAGGTAGGAGGTCATTCCCAGAAAATCTATTGACCTCAGCTTCATGTGGGGTCATTGTCATGCCTTCTTCTGGTTCGATACAGAATCTGAAAGCTCACATGCCTTCCGAGGCCTTACTAGTTTTCAACTGCTGCCCAACAAATTATTGTGATGTTTGTGGCTTAAAGAAAACAACACCCATCTTTTGGCTCAAAGTTCTGTAGGTCAGAGCCCAGCTTGATGTGCCTTGTTCTCCACCCAGAGTGCCGCAGGGCTGAAATCAAAGTGTCAGCCAGGCCAAGCTCTCATCAGGAGGATTTGGGGGGAAAATCCAGTTTCCAGTTCCTTTTGTTGGGAGAATCCAGTTCCTTGTGAATGTCGGCCTGAGGTCTGCAATTCCTGGGGGGCAGGGGCACTTAGTGACCGGAAGCCAGGCTCCTTCCTTGCCGTGTGGCCGGGCTATGTGGCCACCTCCATCCTTAAGCCGGTAGTGGTACCCTGACTCCTTCTCATGCTTCCAATCCCTGACTTCTCCTTCTGCTAGCAACCAGAGAAGACGCTCTCCTTTTAGAGGACTCACCTGATTAAGTCAGGCCCACCTGGGATCACTTCCCTTTTGCTCTCTAATGTAACATCATCACAGGAGTGCTTTCTCATTGTAGCCAGTTTCCCAACACAGTAATGAGAAGAGGATTATGCAAGGGTGAGGGTCGTTAGTGTCAATGTAGAATTTTGCCAACCGTGGAGGCCAGGCAGAAAGGGATTGTATAGATCTGGGTTGAGTATAAGACATCAGGGAGTAGTGGGGTCTGTGGCAAAATAAAGGAAGAGACCACTATTCAGCTCCAGTCGCTAGTTAGAAGCAGTGACTGATTCTCACCAAATCTTCCAACTGAGATTTAAAAAAAAAAAAATCTAATTCTTCTTCAATCATGACAACTAATTATAAGCAAAGAAGCCCACTGCACAGACTAAAGGCTATCCAGACTCTGCTAACTCTGGTCAATCCACGTGGCCCGTCTCATAAACTTAGTGAATTCTCATAGAAACCGTGGAAATTAAGCAGGGAAGATATTTTTCCATTTTATAGGTGAAAAAAACAGAGGCCCAACGATATTAAGTTGCCGGTTGAAGGCAGGGTTTTCAACCCTGAATGTAAAATTGAATTCCTCTCCAGAGCTTTTGAAAATACAGATGACTGGGCCCCACCCAGATCAATTAAATCAGAAAGGCGAAGGCGGGGTCCAAGCATCAGTAGTTTTAAAGAGCCCCCCAGGTGCGGCTGATACTGCCAGGTGGAAAATCACTGGTGTGGAGCCAGAAGGCCAGCGAGCGGCAGAGCTGGGCTGGGAACCCCCGTCCTCTGACTGCATTTAGTGTTCTCCCCAAGGTCACTCCTCTGTACCCGAGCTTGCACGGCGATCTCCCAGGAGCTCCCCCACCTCAATGTGAGCCCAGGGTGACGTTAGCACGCAAAGGCACAGGATGCAAAACGCGGGGTAACTGGGGGGAGGTGTTCCTGGGCAGAGTGGGGGCTGGGGGCCAGGGCCTCACTCATTCCGCCTGTGCCGTGTCCCCAGGGTTCTCCTCGGTGCACAAGAACATGCCCACTGTGGCTGGGGGTCTCCGCTGGGCGCAGGAGCTGAGGCAGCGCATCCAGGGGCCCTTCGCCAACTTCAAGCGCATCACCCATCCGTGAGTAACTGGTTCCTGAAAGGCGGGTTCGGTTAGGCTTCAGCTCCTGCTCTGGAATTTTGAGTGTTGGAGAAACGCAACTCAGCTCAGGCATGAAAATTCATCTTCATTTCTTTGCATACTCAGCAATAGACCAGCATCTCAGTCCATTTGGGCTGTTACACAGAATACCATAGACCAGGTGGTCTACAAACACCAGAAACATTTCTCACAGCTCTGGAGGCTGGGAAGGTCCAAGGTCACGGTGCCAGCAGATGTGGTGTCCAGAGAGGGCCCACCCCGGCTCACAGAGGGCTGCCTTTTTTTTTTTTTTTTAAGATTTTATTTATTTGACAGAGAGAGACACAGCGAGAGAGGGAACACAAGCAGGGGGAGTGGGAGAGGGAGAAGCAGGCTTCCCGCGGAGCAGGGAGCCCGATGCGGGGCTCGATCCCAGGACCCTGAGATCATGACCTGAGCCGAAGGCAGATGCTTAACGACTGAGCCACCCCGGCTTCCAGATGGCTGCCTTCTTATTGTGTCCTCCTAGGGCAGGAGGCGCGGGGGGCCTCTGTGGAGCCTCTTCTTACTTGGGTGCTAGTCCCTTCATGAGGGCTCCCCCCTCGTGGCCTAACCACCCCTCAAAGGCTCCGCCTCCTAATGCCATCCCATTGGGGGTTAGGATTTCAACATATGAATTTTGGGGTGAGGGGGTGCAAACATTCGGGAGTGAGATGGATACATCTGGACTGATTGGGGGCCCCTTGGTGTCAACTGAGGCTTAAAGGATGACCGGCTGCCTCTTCTTGCGCCATGAGATTGGTTTCTAGAAGTAAATGAGTCAGGCTTTTCAAGCTCTGTGGAGCTCTACCAACACATCTCCTCTGACCCCGTGTCTCCCCTCTACTGAGGTTGCGGGGAAACAATGAAGCCTGAGTTTCCTAAAGCGTGGTGTAAGGACTTTGCCTATTAGTGTACCCTGGGCTGTTAAATGCAGATTCCTAGGCCTCACCTCCCACCCCAGAATCCGAATCTCGAAGCAGGGTGGGGTCTATGAATCCACGTCCTTAGCAAGCTCCCTGCTGCGATTCCGAAGGTTGACCAGGTTTGGAAACCGTTGGCCTGCCGCTCAGCTGAGCCTGGAAGCCAAGCGAGGTAGAGAGGTGCCTCAGCTGCTAGAAGCGAGAGACAGAACTGCTTGCAGGATCGCGTTCAGGATGCTCCAAGGAAGGGCAGTCTCTCTCTGAACCCCTCCTGCTAAAGAACCGTGTCGAGGGTACTCGAAGGGCAAACAAAACAGAAACAGAGGGATTGGCGGGGAGACTCTGGCCTCACAGTGTTCTGGCACCAGGTAGGGCTTTAGGGACGATCTGGCCCAGGTGGTAAGACTGCACGCTTTCAGAGGCCCGAAGATGACGCAAGACAGCCAGGATGGGGGTCCAACGGGGGTAACCCCCGCCCCATCCGGTGCCGCCCAGTGGAAGAGCAAGACTCAGTATGAGCCATCTGCTGACTCGGAGAGAAGCTGAAAATCGGGATGTGGATGTAAAGCGGCCAACTTTAGAATTAGCAAGTATCCCCCCCTTTCCCCAAACTGCTCACAGATCAGATAAACAGGCCTGCGGGTCAGGTGGGCCCCGCAGGCAATCTATTTGCAACATCTTATGGGGCCTGAGCTAGCTGAGCTCTTTGTTTTGCAGAGGAAGAAACTGAGGGGAAACAGACAGGCCTACCCCAGGGAGAGCCCAGAAAGAACTGGAACAGTCTGGGGCTCAGGAGTCCCCGCCCAGAGCCCTTCCCAGGAGTCCCCAGCCACAGGAACCTTGGCCCTGAGTGCTGCTGAGCCCTCATCTTCTCAGACCTGCTGGTGGATGTGGGCCGGCCCAGGGGAGGGGCATGACTTTGGGCGAGGGGCGGGGCTGTAGCTGTTCCCCGGGAGAGAGGTGGCTGCGCTTTATCAGCCGGCAACATCGTGGCCGACGGCGATGGAAGGGCGGTTAAGAGTGCCCGGGCCTGGAGCGGGGATCTGAATGGCACCCTAAAGTGTCTTCTACAGTTCCCCTGAGAAGTCGTGTTTGTTTAAAAATGAATTCACATTCATGCTGTACCCTATCACATACACCTGACTCTTGAACAATACGTTTTGACACGTTTTGAACTGCGCATGGATTCACTTACGCCCAGATTTTTTTCTTTTCTTTTTTTTTTTTTTTACTACAAAGTTTTATTGTTTCCATTTGGTCCAGGGTTGGGCGAGGGCTCCAGGGTGTTTAAAACCTGCCTAGCGGATGCAGGGAAAGATAGATTCAGGCAGAAGCCCTGACACCAGGGGACACGAGCAGGGCCCCTCAAGGGCCACCAGGCTCTGGAAGTCCTCGGGGTGCTTGAGAGTGAGCCCTTCCAAGGGGAAGAGCCACCTGCCCAGCCCAGCCTGGGGGCGGCCAGCCTGCGGAGGTGCGGCAGGTGCTCATTGTCTTCTTGAGAAGTTTCACCTGCTCATCTAGGAAGTGGTTCTCCGGGATTCACAGAGGTGGGGGTCTGCGCAGGCAGAACCCAGGGCCGGCGGACCCGGAAGGACCTGGTTCGAGTTCTTGTCCAGCTCCTCGGCAGCTTCCACGGCATCGTAGGTTTTACTCCTCACATCTTGGGCCACATCGTTGAAGTAGAAGCCTGGAGGGAGGGAGGTGTAGGTGGTCTGCAGGGGTAGGCTGACCAGGCAGCAAATGGTGGCCTCCACGTCGGTGGAGTAAATCTGATGAACCTGGAAGCTCATGGTTGGTCAGCAAGAAGGAGCCAAGCTCAGGGGATGGCTGAGAAGATGGTTCCAAAGCTTGAGATTGGGAAAGAGGTCGGAGGGGAGTGGGAGGCTGGAAGAAGGGGTGACGCCAGGTCTGTCCCCTGCACACACTGCCGAAGCAGGAGACAGATCCGGGGGCTGCTGGGCGCGCTGCCTAGACAGAGTTTTTACGGTGCTGTAAATGTATTTTCTCTTCCTTATGATTTTCTTAACATTTTCCTCTGTCTAGTCTCCTTTATTGTAAGCATACAGTATATAATGCACGTAACATGGGAAATATGTGTTCATTGGCTATTTATGTTACTGGGAAGGCTTCCAGCCAACAGTAGCTATTAGTAGTTAGGTTTTTAGGGAATCACAAGTTATGTGCAGATTTTGACTGCATGGAGGTTGGCGTCCCTAACCCCCGTGCTGTTCAAGGGTCAACTGTATATACAAATGGGTTCCTAAGAATGTTTTCCATTCCTCACCATGAAGGGAAGTAGAACCTACGGGGAGTGTGCATTTACTCCCGTGATTTATCAAACTTCCAGGCGTGTGGCCCGGGCCCCGGTGTGGGAAACCGTTGTCCCCTCTGGTTGCCTTCTCCTCCAGAAACAAAACTGAGATCTGGGGTTGGGGAGCTTGCAGAAATCCCACAGCTCATGAGGGGAGGGCTGGCGGGGGAGCCGGCCCACCTGGTCCGAAGCCCTTTCCACGTCTCCTTGCTGCCTAGACAGACACATCTGCTCATTCACCAGGAAAGGGAACTAAGCGACTGGAAGGAGAAAAAAAATAAATAAATAAAAGCCTTCCAGGAAATCCAGTGCTTTCTGTGCAGGCATGAGGGTTTACACTGAAAGCTCAGGAGATCTGGTGAAGAAACCTTGTGTCGGTTTAAAGACCCAAATAGGTTTTTTAAAACTCTTCGCAATAAGCTGCTTCATTTTGCCAGCAGAACAAACAAAAACAGACCCTCTGACACGGTTCATGTGAAGGTTCTGAAAAGTGCAGATACTTCACCCATTTCCCCAGAGGCTGGTCTCTTCATTTTGTGTTGCAAAGGAGCATCAAAACCAGGTAGCAGTGTGGGTAACTACCGGTGCCTCCAGCCAGACTCCGCTTCCGTTCCTCCGTGGCGCCCAGCATCCCCGTGGAAGCCCGTGTGTGTGTCCGTGCGTGCATGCACGAATGTGCATCGGTGTGCTCACGTTTGGGGGCGTAAGAGGCGGGAGGGGAACCTTGTTTAGACACGTCCATGAGTAATGAGTCGAAGGGTTTGTCATCCCATGTTCTAGAAGGATTTCAGAGGAGAAATACACAGATGCATGTGGGTGTGTTATTATATATGTATACACACATATATAAAACATTGTTTAACGTTATATAGTTTTGTTACAATGTTGTAATGCATAATGTTATATAGTTTTTTTTTCCTTAAATACAGAAAACTGCACCTAGAATTTTCCTCTCATGTCTCGATTTCCCTTTTATTCAGATTTTGGAAGGACTTCACTTACCCGTGCGTGACTGGCTGGGCTAGGGGTGGGGGGTGGCCGTGTTCCACCGTCCCTGTCACCCGGGGGGCTGCCTGAATTTCAGGAAGTGCAGGTGCCCTCTAGTGGCCAGTGGGTGATGTTCCCAAGGAAGGCGGCGGACTAATTGAGGGGCTTTTGGAAACCGGCCCAGGAAGCTAATCAATCTGTTCTTTATAGGCTCCAGTTGGTTACTTAGATCATTCTTTTGACTTCTTCTGAATGGATGCCATTTCTTCTTCTCTTTTGTGGGGATAGTTGCATGGACTCTGCTGAAGGAAAGCGAATGACCCAGAAATATGAAGATACGCTCTCACTGCTGGAAAAGTAAGCAGCTTCTGGGATTGTGTTGTTCAGCAAATGGCATAGCAGCCCCCCCCCAACCCCGCGATGCCTTTTGTGGTTCTGGGTTTGTGCAGATTCCCCCTGGGGGCGGGGGGGGGGGCTGTGTCTTATGATGGAACCAGGATGTCTGTGAGTAGAGCGCTTCTGGGTCACCGACACAGGGTCTCTGGGGAGGGCAGCTCTGTGCTCGGAACAGACACTTTCCAGGGTAGTTGTGTTGGGAGCGTGAACTTGACAGAGCTAGAGGAAGTCGGGCGCTCCTCGTGGCACCTTGAGATCGGTGTCACGGAAAATCACAGCAGCTGCTCGCTAAGCAGAATGCAACAGTCTGTGCTGCAGAAAGAGAAAATGAGCTTTAGAAATAGTTCCTGGGTCCTTTCGGAGAAAACACGAGAATGACAATTTACATGGACTCCTAGTTGTCCCTGCTCTGAAGCCGAGGTAAGTCTTTTGTGGGCACAGTTTCAGCCGCCCACGTGGCCGTGCACTTAGCAAATCCCCAGTCCGATGATGTTGGCACATCCCCTGGCTGGGGGGCCTTTCAGTGTCTCCCCCCGCCCCCCGACTCTTGTCTGTGTCGCATGAAGAGCAGTCCCTGTGGCCTTCACCTCCCTCTCCAGCCTTGGCCCTTGCCCCCTCTGGCCTCAGGCGTTCCCGGATCCCAGTCCACCCTTTCTCACCTCTGCTGAGAGGATTCATTTCCCTTTCACTGTCCTACCTCTGCTCGTCCTCTGAGACTCAGGCAGGCCTCACCACGGCCCCTCTTCCTTGAAGCCTTCCTGGTATTCTCATCACACACTCACCCCTGCCATTAGATGCCTAATGCCCTGTCCATCTCTCCAGGATTGTGCTTCTGTATTTTCTGTTTACCTGTGCTCCACAGCATTAGCTGCCTTGACCATGGGGTGTTTATTCATCATGTTGTCCCTCAATCCCAGCACGTGGGAGGGGCTCAGTCAGTGTGTAACAACCGAGCGATGGACGTCTTCAGCTGCATGAAGATTAGTGTGAGAGCAAATCTTTGCCAATAACTTCTTCCAATGTTTAATGAGACTAATCACAAGTCCCCTTATGCCCTGCAAAGATTGCACAGAGCCTTTCTTTCTACTCTCCTCTGATTTAAGCTGGGCCACCTTTCGAAATGAGGTGTTACCTGCAGGAGCTTACATGCCTGGCGGAGCCACTGACTCTAAGTTAAGAATGGATTCAGAGAGGGGTGTCTGGGTGGCTCAGCCGGTGAAGCGTCTGCCTTCGGCTCCGGTCGTGATCTCAGGGACCTGGGATCGAGTCCTGCGTCAGGCTCCCTGCTCAGTGGGGAGTCTGCTTCTCCCTCTCCCTCTGCCCTTCCTCCCCCCCCCCCGCTTGTGCTCTCTCTCTCGCTCACTCTCTCAAATAAGTAAATAGAAATCTTTAAAAAAAATGGATTCAAGTATTTTACCAATAGTATCTTCAGTTCATGAGATACTTGTGCACATATACATACGTAGCTATCTGGGTTATATATATGTTAAGATATCTCTGTCTTCAGTTGGGCATTGCCAGATGCCGGGAGGGTGAGTAAGAGGTGGCTGTTGTTTCTGGTTCTGGCAGGTATGAGACAAGACTTTATGAGGACTGGTGCCAGACAGTGTCAGAGAAGTCACAGTACAATCTTTCCCGGCCACTCCTGAAACGGGACTCAGAGACGAAGCAGATCGCCGTCAACTTTAACCCCCAGGTAAGTCAGGCAGCAGGAACTTCCTTTTGGGTTCCTGAAGGGACTCCTTTAACTCTACTGATTTCCAAGGCAAAAAGGCTTTTTATAAGAATATGCAGAAGCTGCTGAGAAGAATTTCCACCCTGGATCTCCTACTGGGGATGAATCCTGTGGTGCCGTGTTTTCTCAAGTTGTCCAATGTCCACCTTTTCCTCCACGGTTGGCCAATAGATTTGCGTTGATTTTGCACAACAGAAGATATTGCAAAATAATTTTTTAAACTTTCCTATGTGTGTGATAACAGCTTTATGATGAACTTGACTTCAGACACAAAGTTAGAATGGCAATTACACTCAAGATGAACTCATCCGAAAGTTTAAATATCATATTCTAGATAGACACTATCTAGAATTCCAGAAGGTATATTTATTTAAACAGGTAATAGATATTGCTCCCCATCTTTGGACAGATGGGGTAACAGCATTACCATGTAGTACCAAACAGCTGACTCCACCTACCTTGAATGCATGCTCCACATAAAGGCCGTTGACTAGACACAGGAGGGCCAACCCAGTATAAGACCCCATTCCTGCCCTCAAGGAACCCACCAGCTAGTTGGGAGCTAGAACCTCAACATGCAAAGTTGTATCTTTATTAGATCATATATGATACATCACAGTGGAGTAGCTTTGGAAAGAAGACTGTAGATGACTGAGGCGGTTTTGCCCCCGCCTGGAGATACTTTGGGTTGTCAAATATGGACTGGATGCCAATGGCGTAGGGTGGTGAGTAGATTCTAAGAATGTTGCTAAGCTTCCTAACAATGCACAGGACAGCACCTCACAACCAAGAGTTTTTGTCTGGAAATGTCAGTAGTACTGAGGTTGAGAGAGTCTGCTCCATATGATCAGAAGAGCAGAAGACCCTTGTGCAGCATGGAAAACACAAGGCTGGAGAACATGAAAACCAAAAGCTAGTCCACATCCGGAAGTATATCAGAAAAAAAAATTTCAAAAGTATAGGCTGCCCTGAGCTAAAAGCAATTGCCTACTTCTATCTCAATGGCATGTTCTCCAGGAATGTGGCATAGAGAGAGCCGGAAATGGAGCTGATAGCATATGAGTGTCTTTTGAGAAAATTACAGTTTAAGTAGAACATCAATTCCGACTGGAATAAAAGGTCAGCAAAGGGAGTTGGAGGGTCCACTTCTTCACTTTGGTACGACATGAGCCTGTCATTTAACTCACTTAACTCCTTGGCATAATTTTATCAGCGCTCACTGTGAGCAATGTTGAATGTTAAATGCCCAAAGTGAGGAGTTTCTGGATTACCAACTAGGCCACGGTCTAGATGTTGTAATTGTAGGAATGCAGCCCTCGGGATGAGACCATATTGAGAATGGACCGCTCCTCCTCCGTATACTCCAGAGCAAGGACTCTCTCTGCCCCAGTGCACAGCACGTAGTAGGTGCTTTATAGGTGTTCATAGCTGAGAGGAGGAAAGGAGGGGAGAGGAAAGGAGGGAAGAAAAGGGGAGAGGGAATTAATACCTGAATTATAAAGTGATTCAAGGGGAGACAACCAAATGCACAAGTCAAAGAAGAGCTGCAAACATCCCTTAGCTCCAGCTTTGAGCAGTGTGACAAGGGCTGTGCTAGTAAGAATGAAAAGCAACGTACTCTAGAGGGACATGATCAGATTTTCCCCTTTGGGGGCGCCTGGGTGGCTCAGTCGGTTGAGCGACTGCCTTCGGCTCAGGTCATGATCCCAGCGTCCTGGGATCGAGCCCCGCATCGGGCTCCCTGCTCTGCGGGGAGCCTGCTTCTCCCTCTCCCACTCCCCCTGCTTGTGTTCCCTCTCTCGCTGTGTCTCTCTCTGTCAAATAAATAAATAAAATCTTTAAAAAAAAAAAAAAAAGGTTTTCCCCTTTGGGGCCAGGATAGCAATTATATGGGAAAAATATATACATATTTGTAAATTATTTCTTTACACTATTTTAAATTCCCTATTGGCATTTAAATTATTTTCTAGTTTTATCAATCAGTATTTCATTGATCATAAGATGCACTTTTTTTTTTTTTTTTTTTTACATCTTGGCGTCTCTGAAAATGACACGTGTTTGTAGCTTAACACGCCCCATTTTTTTTCTTTCTTCTTTAGTTGGACATGATAATGTCCAACTAAATAATAGTGAATCTTACCACTGAAGGCATCTTATGATGAAATAAAATACGGTATAAATAATGCTATAGGAAAGATCTTTAGTTATTGTTGCATCCATCCTCAGTGGTTCCTTTGGAATAAATGTCTGGAAATGGGATAAAGGATGTTCACATTGTGAGAATTCACATGTGTATTATCAATTTGGTCTTGGAAGATGGAACTCTGTTATTTTCCTGCCAGAAAGATACCATCCATTTCTTCAAATCACTTCCAGCCTCTTGAACTAAATATATATATAATATCTCAGCATTGTTTTAATTTGTATTTATTTGGCCACTAGTAAAGTAGAACTTTCTCATGTGTTCATTGGCCAGTTATAGTTCTTCTATGAATCGCTTGTTCATGTCTTCCTCCCACTTTGGAGTGGAAGTGCCCTCTTTTCCTCTGAATTTGTTAGAATATTTGGGAAATAGGGGTGCCTGGGTGGCTCAGTCGTTAAGCGCCTGCCTTCGGCTCAGGTCATGGTCCCAGCGTCCTGGGATCGAGCCCCGCATCGGGCTCCCTGCTCGTCGGGAAGCCTGCTTCTCCCTCTTTCACTCCCCCTGCTTGTGTTCCTTTCTCGCTGTGTCTCTCTCTGTCAAATAAATAAATAAAATCTTTAAAAAGAATATTTGGGAAATATTTGTCAGATATTAAGAAATCTGTTGCATATGCTTGTTTTTGGTTTTTACCAGTTGAGGTGTGCCATTTTATAATATGAATGATACTTTATGCTTATAAATTTTATCTTTTATTTTCTGGTTGTATGTTTGGAAGGGCTTTCTCTGCCTCAGTATTATATAAGTAGTCTCCAGGCTTTAATTTTTTGTTTTCAGTTTTTACATTTAAATTTTTAATATCTATCTTGAGCTTATTTCAAAATAAGCTAGGAGGCTGAGGTCCTTTCCCTGCCGAATGGTTAGCATTTGCCTTAGCCCTGAGTAGGATTGGCTGGGCAGCAGTGAAGCATTGGCCTAGAACCATTGCAGGGAGAGTAAGAGCCCAGGTGTCTCCATGCAGGGGGCGGGGGGGGAGGGGATCAGAAGGGGGATGGGGAGAATCTATGGCCTGGTATCTGTTTTGTCACCCATACCTCTACACATCAGTCCTCATAGGTTCAGAGGTAAACAGGATAAATAAACAAAGGGTGTGGGGCACCAGGGTGGCTCAGTTGGTTGAGCATCTTACTCTTGATTTCAGCTCAGGTCATGATCTCAGGGTTGTGGGATGGAGCCCCATGTTGGGCTCCGTGCTCAGTGCAGAGTCTGCTTATCCTTCTCCCTCTGCTCCTCCCTGACACTCTCTCTCAAATAAATAAATAAAATCTTAAAAAAAAATAAAGGGTGAAGATAAGGATGCCTAAAAGCCCAGCCAAAGGCCTCTTTTTCCATTGGACCACATCTGCTTGGCCTGCCTGGGTGACTTCCATTTCCTAGTATATTAAAACCCAAAGACATGCCAACACAGGCTTCCAGAAATGAAGGGCTATTTCAAACGATTGTATCTAACAATTAAAGTTGTGCAGTGGGCATCTCCTCTCAATTCTGTCAGTGTCTGTGACTGTGTGTGTGACCTGATTGGAGAGAATACCAGAAGTCTGAGTTTGAGGCTTCTCAGGCATGTGGCTAGCCTAGACCTGGTGATTCCCATCCCTCGCACCATTGCCTCTCCATGGGAATTAACTGGCCTAGTCAGCCACACGCCCAAAAGCGTCAAGGCAGACCTCTCCTGTCACTCATGCCACCTTTCTTGAGTTTTTCTTTTGTTGCTCTTTGGGACTTACAGACGTGGTAAGACTTTCTGCCGTCTGAGTCCTCTTCCTTCTGCCTAAAACTCAATTTCCTTTCTCTAGGTTTAAGGAACAGGTAGGAGCAAAAGTTGAGAAGGGACCCAGGAGGGGCCCTGGGGTTTTCCAGTCCTTGACTGATAGCTGCTGCTTTTCCCTGCCACGGAGCTACAGCCACTTAATGCTGATTGTCTTCTCCAGCTGCTTTCGGTGCTGAAGGAAATGAGTTATCTTGAGCCCAGGCAGATGCAGCGCATTCCTGAGACAGCGGCAGCCATGTTCTCCTCCAGGGAATTCTATCGGCAGCTCGTGGCTAAGTTGGAGCTGATGGCAAATGGGTACAACAAGGTGGTGAAGACTCTTGCAGAGGTGGAGTTTCCCTTAGTGGAGGAAGAGCTGAGGGATATCGATCTCCGCCTGAGAGCTGCAGAGGGGACTCTGAACTGGAAAACAGAAGGTAATGGGGCACTGCCTGGAATCTGGTGGGGAGGTTGGGGGTCAAGCTCCTGATAAAGTTGGCAGAACCATGAATGATCCCCCCAGTAATCTGGTTTGTGTTTGGAACACAAGCCTGCCCTCTCAGAACCTATCCAAGGCAGAGAAGGCAAGAAGGCTTAGTATTCCTTGTCTTCCTTCTCTTTGGATATGATTAGTAGATTTAGAAAATCTTGCCACCATGCCCTGGGGGAGGCTCACCTCCTGCAGTCTTCAGCATATATTGGGCATGTTAGCATTTACTACGTTATCACTGTTACTTAATTTTCTTCACTAGACTGTAGACACCTTTTTTTTTTTTTAAGATTTATTCATTTGAGAGAGCGCACACGAGTGGGAGGAGGGGTAGAGGGAGATAGAGAGGGAGAGGAAGAGAATCTCAAGCAGACTCTCTGCTGAGCATGGAGCCCAGTGTGGGGCTCTATCCCATGACCCATGAGGTCATGACCTGAGCCAAGATCAAGAGTCGGATGCTTAACCGACTGAGCCACCAGATGCTCCTAGACTGTAGACATCTTAAATGAGGGTACTGTGCATTTAATTCTCACGTATCCTCCAATTCAGTACTAATTTCATGGATGGATTAACATTTGCAGGGTACTATGTGAGGGATGGGGGGGTAATATGGGATATAAGGTGTATGGGACGTGGTTCCTACCCTCAAAGAGCTCACATTTAGTTGCAACAATGGACATATGTACAACTATAAATCATGCAAGAAAGGCTACAATAAAAAGCCATCACAGAGTTAAAAATAAAGCATGATGAATCACAGGGGAGGGAGATTAATTCTCCTTAGAGTCCTCAAAAGAGGTCGAGTTTCAAAAGAAAGTTAGTCAACTTGGAAGTCTTGGAATGCCATATTAAGCGAGTTCGAACTTTATTTTATACACAAGAGGGAACAATATTTTCAACATTTAATAAAGCAAAAGTGCTTAAAAAAATAAGGTCCATTAACCCAAATGAAATCCTCATGGTGCACTGGTATGTCCCAGCCACCGTGCCAACTTTTGTGTGCTTGGTTGGTAAGCATTACTTCTTTGTTTCTTTTCCTCCATAATCAGGGTTGTGGTAAGCTTTGGCTGTTCAACACAACTAAGAAGAAAAAAGGCTCTGGTGATAAAGTAACCTGTGCAAAAAAGCCTTTTAAAACCTATAAATATTAGGGACACCTGGGTGGCTCAGTCGGTTAAGCATCTGCCTTCAGCTCAGGTCATGATCCCAAGGTCCTGGGATCGAGTCCCGCATCGAGCTCCCCGCTCTGCAGGGAGTCTGCTTCTCCCTCTCCCTCTGCCCTCACTCATTCTCTCCCGCTCTCTCTCAATTGAATACATAAAATCTTAAAAAAAAAAAAAAACCTACAAATATTAAATCCCTTCCTTTTATAGCAACTAGGCCTTAGCTATTTCAATTAATTACGTTTCTTTGGGGGAACAGGCATTTGGGATTATGTCATTCAAATCACCAACAGCATTCATGGTCTTGAACAAAGAATTCAGAAAGCTAAAGACAATGTGGAAGAGATTCAAAACATCATGAAAACATGGGTGTCTCCAATATTTAAGAGAAAAGATGGAAAAAAGGAATGCCTTCTTTCCATGGATGATCAGCATGACCGGATGGAAAAATATTACCATCTCATCAGAGAATCTGGACTTAAGATTCACGCCCTTGTTCAGGTACTAACCAGCCTCTCAGAAACACGTACCTCTAGCCGAGGGAGAGCATCGGGAAGCGTGTTTGGGTGCAAGAAATGATTTGAAGATGAGAACAATCAACAGATGCTGTGTCTTCTGCATTCAGGGATGGAAGTTTATAATGATAGCAGGAGAACTAAAGCTAACAGGAAGCGAGGAAAGACACATTCTGGTATCAGTGTGTCAAAATTAATACTTTCTTAATGGTAGTTAAGACGTTGGCATGACTTAAGTCCCATGCCAAACCCCAGGGAGATAGAAGGACATGCCTGGTACAGAACCCTAAATTAGCTTCTGTACTAGCCAGCCCCGACTTGCCTGCACAGCCTGACACGGACCCCCAGCAGCATCTCCAACACCTAGCTCTGTAAGCCCGAGGATATGAAAGATGACCATGGTCTCCCTACCTGTCTTTGGTAAAGAGAAGAAACAATGCAGGCTTCCACACTTCATGCAGTAAGGCTCTGCCCTGCCTTGTGATCAGGGCAACCTCGCGTCTGCTATCAAAGACTTAACTATGGATGGGAGCTCTGAGTGGCGACCGGCTTCAACCCTACCCCATCTGCCCTACACCGGCCAGTTCTAGCCGATTGATCTCATGCCCAAAGTTAGTAACAAATCACTGTTGCTATCTGGGATTATCTGTGCTTCGAAGCAAGTAACATGTTGTACTTTAGACTTTGTTAATTTTATTTATCTGTTTTCTTTTTTTTTTTTTCAATTACTAAGTGGTTTGTTTTTATTTTATTTTATTTTTTTTATTCTTATGTTAATCCCCATACATTACATCATTAGTTCTAGATGAAGTGTTCCATGATTCATTGTTCGTGCACAACACCCAGTGCTCCATGCAGAACGTGCCCTCCTCAATACCCACCACCAGGCCAACCCATCCTCCCACCCCCCTCCCCTCTAGAACCCTCAGTTTGTTTTTCAGTGTCCATCGTCTCTCATGGTTCGTCCACCCCTCCGATTTCCCCTGCTTCATTCCTCCCCTCCCGCTACCTTCTTCTTCTTTTTTTTTTCTTAACATATCTTGCATTATTTGTCTCAGAGGTACAGATCTGAGATTCAACAGTCCTGCACAATTCACAGCGCTTAACAGAGCACATACCCTCCCCAGTGTCTTATCACCCAGTCACCCCATCCCTCCCCCACCCCCCACTCCAACAACCCTCAGTTTGTTTCCTGCGATTAAGAATTCCTCATATCAATGAGATCATATGATACATGTCTTTCTCTGTTTGACTTATTTCACTCAACATAATACCCTCCAGTTCCATCCACGTCGTTGCAAATGGCAAGATCTCATTTCTTTTGATGGCTGCATAATATTCCATTGTATATATATACCACATCTTCTTTATCCAGTCATCTGTTGATGGACATCTTGGCTCTTTCCACAGTTTGGCTATTGTGGACATTGCTGCTATAAACATCGGGGTGCACGTACCCCTTTGGATCCCTACTTTTGTATCTTTGGGGTAAATACCCAGTAGTGCAATTGCTGGTTCATTAATTTCTGTTCTTTGTTCTTTATCCTTTCTTTTCTTAATTTAGGGTTATGATGCTCATCTTTTTTTTTCCCCCCTAGCCTCCAAGGGCAGAAACTTAGGGTATAGATTTTAAGCCTTTCTTCTTTTTGAATACAAGCATTTGACATAATTTTCCCCATTAGCTGTGTTCTAGTTCCATTCCACAAATTTCGTGTGCCTCATTTCCATTGTCATTCAGTCTTAATTTTTTTTTTGCTTGTGACTCATTCTTTAACTCAGTGGTCATTTAGAAGTGCATTGTTTCACTTCCCCATGTTCGGGGCTTCTCTGGATAGCTTCATGAAATTGAAATCCAGTTCAGTCCAGTTGTGGTCAGAGAAAGTACTCTCTAAGATAAAAATCATTTGGAATTCACTGAGACTTGTTCCATGACTTAGAAGACTGTCCATCTTATTGCATGTTCCTTACACACTTGACAATACGTTTATTCCATTTTTGGGTATAGTGTCCTATAAATATCAATTAGTTCAAAGTGGTTGATAGTATTGTGCAGATCTTCTGTATGGTTTCTGAGTTTTTTGTCCATTCATTCTACCAATTACTGGAGGTAGAGTGTTAAAATCTCCACCTGTGACTCTGGATGATTGTCTAAGCCTTTAGTGCAGTCAGAGTTTTCATCAGTATTTGATGTTCTTTTTTAAAAGATTTATTTATTTTAGGGGGGAGGGGCAGAGGGGGGGTTCTTTTTTTTTTTTATTTTTCTGTTAATCCCCATACATTACATCATTAGTTTTAGATGAAGTGTTCCATGATTCATTGTTTGTGCATAACACCCAGTGCTCCATGCAGAATGTGCCCTCCTCAATACCCACCACCAGGCTAACCCATCCTCCCACCCCCCTCCCCTCTAGAACCCTCAGTTTGTTTTTCAGAGTCCATCGTCTCTCATGGTTCGTCTACCCCTCCGATTTCCCCCGCTTCATTCCTCCCCTCCCGCTACCTTCTTCTTCTTCTTTTTTTTTTCTTAACATATATTGCACCATTTGTTTCAGAGGTACAGATCTGAGATTCAACAGTCTTGCACAATTCACAGTGCTTACCAGAGCACACACCCTCCCCAGTGTCTATCACCCAGTCACCCCATCCCTCCCACCGCACCCCCCACTCCAACAACACTCAGTTTGTTTCCTGCGATTAAGAATTCCAGAGGGGGGGTTCTTAAGCAGACTCCGCACTGAGCATGGAGCCTGATGTGGGGCTGGATCTCAAGACTCTGAGATCACAACCTGAGCTGAAGCCAAGAGTCGGATGCTTAACCGACCGCACCACCTGGGTGTCCCTTGACGGTCTTTTACTACAAACACACTTATAATTATTATAACTTCCTGATGAATTGACCACTTTATTCTTATAAAATTCTCTTTTTATTTCTCAGAATACTCCCTTGCCCTGAGGTCGCTTTTTTCCTGTTAATACTCTAGTCTTGCCTTCCAGATTCACCGTTCCTACTCTGCCCTGCCCATCTTCCTGCCCTTCTACATTCAACCTGTTTGTTTCCTTGGATTCGAATTTCTTCTCTTAAAGACAGTATAGTAGAGACTTACTTTCCTAACAACTCTGTTGATTAACTGGAATGTTTAGATTATTACATTGAACATAATTATTGGGATGATTGGATTTAGCTCACCATCTTGCCATTTCCTATTTCCTTCATCTCTGTTTTGTTTTTCTGTTCTTCGTTTCTTACCTTCTTATTAACTATTTTTTTTTAATATTCTGATTTCTCAACAGGCATTCCATCTTGTTGCATGACATTTCCTGTGGTTGTTCTGGGTTTCAGTGTGTCTCAAACTAGTCACAACTTAAGAGTTTTCTTGTGAAATACAGGAACCTAGCCACAGTATGGTTCAGTTCAACTCCGACTCTTGATTTCAGCTCAGGTCAGGATCTTAGGGTCCTGGGAGGGAGCCCTGCATCAGGCTCCGTGTTCAACAGGGAGCCTGCTTTAGGATTCTCTCCCTCTCCCTCTGCCTCTACATCCCGGCTTCTCTCTCTTTCTCTAAAATAAATAAATAAGTAAATCTTTTTAAAAAAATAAAAACTCAAGAAAAAGTATTTATAGTATTTTATATTCACCCACATACTCACCATTTCCAGACTTGTTTTTTTTCTTTTCTGGAAAATGGACCTCCCACCTATGGTCATTTCTCTGCAGCCTGAAGAATGAAGAACTCCCTTTAGTTTTTCTTGCAGATCTAGTCTGCCAATGACACATTCTCTCAGTTTTTGTTTTTCTGACATGTCCTTATTTCACATTTGTTTTTGAAGGATAGTTTCATTGGATATTGAATTCTGCATAGACAGTTTTAATTGTCTTACAAAAATTATTTCCTTGTCTCCTCCCCTCCAATGTTTCTGAGGAGAAGCCAGCCGTAATTTGTGTCTTTGTTTCTCTATATGTAATGTATTGTTTCTCTCAGGCTGCTTTTAATAGATTCTTTTTTTAATCTTTGCTTTTTTGTTTTTTGTTTGTTTGTTTTTTTTTCTGTCTCACGGTGATTTGCCCAAATAGGTTTGCTTTCTGTTCACCCAGCTCAGAGTTTGTGAGCTTCTCGAACTTGTTTTTCATCAACTTTGAGGAGTTTTTAAATCAAATTATGACACTCTTGTCTGCTAATCCCAACATCTATTTTATTTTCTGAGTCTTCCTTTTTTTTTTTTTAATGTGACAGAAGTTTATTTTTCTCTCACATAAAATAAATCTGAGGAAGAGGCATTCCAGAATTGGTATGGCAATTATTTGCTGAGCCTGTTGTTGGTGATTATTTCCTCTCTCGGTTAAATGTCACGCTTTCATGCTTCTTTGCATGTCTAGTAATTTGTTGTTGTTGTTCAGTTCTAATCATATTGGATGCCACTTTAGAGCGTAGTTGTTATTTCCCTTAAAAGGTTTGCATTTTTGCTTTGGCAGGCAGTTAACCTACCGGCGGGTCAATTTTGATCCTGTCGAGCTTCGATGTTAAGCTTTGTGAGGATGGGTCTCAGGAAGCCTTACTCTAGGGCAACCCTAACCCCCAAAGCATGGTGTTTCTGGGGTCTCAGCAGAATTCCTGCATTATCTTCAAGGTCTTCTGTTATTTCTCATAGAACACGAACACTGTCCAGTACCATAAGACCACACGATCTCCATGCAGCTTACGACAACTGTTCTCTGCCCAGCCTTACCGAGACTGGCCCTCAGGATGTGCAGCTTCATAGTCAAAGATTCAGGGAGACTCCACGATCTCCATAGCCCCAAACCCTCATTGCTGTTTTTTTCTGCCCAGGGGAAGGATGTCTGTCATTACAGTCCACATCCCTGAGCCACAGTTTGGAAAGTGCCTCTAAGTAGAAAGTCAGGTGGTTGCGAAGCTCAGCTTAAGGATTTCCCTTCTTTGAAGGATCACATCCCTGTTCTCTAGTTGCCCCCAAAGAATTGTTTATTGGATCCAGTTCTGTAGTTACATGTAGCAGAAGGGCAGGTCTGATCTCATTCCTCTGTCTTGGCTAGAATCAGAAACTCGAGCCATTTCTTTCTTAGTTCACAGAAATGCCAACATTTTTGCTCCTTAGACCATAGTAGAGCTCAGGTGAGAGTTTGAAATGTAGAGATAGCCATACTGATGGTGCGACATTAGGGAGGAGATAGAACAACTATACAAAGCAGTCATAAAAACGAAATGTTCTAAAAAATAAAGAAGCAGACAGACACACACACTTAATAACATCTGAGAGCAGCTTGATGTTGTCTGTGTCTTATGATTTGCGTGATGATGGCTTTAAGTCATTAAGAAAACCTATCTATTTTGGAAAGAAAGGGGTATATAATGCATTTTAGACATTTTAGAGTTTTGTCACATAAAGACAGGATCATGAGGGTTTTTTTTTTAATCCAGGGGGGTTTATACATGGAACTGTTTGTAAAGGGGTGTGCATTGCCTAAAAAATGTACTTTCTGCAAAGTAGTTAGCAGTTTGTTTGAAGATCTGGGACAAATGGAAAGTTGACGTCAGAAGGCTTGATAATAAAAATGGCGATGAGTAAGCGGGATGTGTGTGTCATGCCATCAGGTCAGGGAGGGAAGGAGGGAGAGGGTGGAAGGGGGGAACACACACGTGTTCCTTTATGTGTATGCATTTTCTTTTTTTTCTCTCTTTAGAGAGGGAGAGAAGAGGGGGAGGGGCAGAGGGAGAGGGAGAGAAAGAATCTTAAGCAGGCTCCATGCCTAGCACAGAGCCCAACACGGGGTTCGATCTCACCACCCTGAGATCGTGACCGGAGCTGAAATCAAGAGTTGGACGCTTAACCGACTGAGTCACCCAGGTGCCCCTATGTGTATGCATTTTCTGAGTCACTCAGCACGATGGCTTTTAATAGTAAATGCCCCAAACAAAGCACTCCAGCTCATTTCTAAGGACTAGCCAGGAAATGCTTTACTTGCTTGAACTCCAAATTTCTTACACGCCTTGAATCCTAAAGCCCTCTACCCAGAGAGTCCCTTCCTCTCTCTGCTTTAACTTCTGCCTTAATGTAGCTTCTCCCATAGCACATCCATCTGCACTTATAAATCACACCCTGTGTCCCATTTTTCCTGGGAAAGTGGCCTGACCCTCCTTTCTCTGGGACAGAATGAGACCCCATATTCCCTTCACGGATTAACTTCGTGTTCCTTTCACTCAGTGGTTATGCCCATGAGACAGAATGGACTCGATACATATGTAATAGCAAACTTTTCACAAGAATGCTCCCCAGCCCCCGCCCCGGTGTTGTTTTTTTCCCCATCAATGATAACTAGACCAGTCCTTCCATATTATTAAACATGGTTTAAATCCATTCTTCTTTATTTTATAGGAAAACCTAGGTCTGTTTGCAGCAGACCCAACCTCTAATATCTGGAAGACTTATGTTAACTACATTGATGAGATGTTGCTGGATGGATTTTTTCTTGCCATCGAATGCTCCCTCAAGTACCTCCTGGAGAACACTGGTATTTACTGGCTTATGGAGGCATGTTACTGCTGGAAAGATAACAGTAACACCTTTGATTAAAAGTGAAGCGCGATTGAGTGCTTTGTGCCTTTTCCCAAAATGTGTGGATGCTTTGTGAATGGTACATAATAAAATAGCCAAGGTATTGAGTTTCTACATTGTTCCCGGAGAAGAGATTTCTCGCTCTTGGAACTCAGGTGGTAAGCCAGGCTCTAAGATAGTGAAGCCCATAGCAAAAACAAAAACGTAAGGGCCAATTCAATCTAAATAAAGCTTCGTAAAGAGGGTGAAGTTGAAGCAATAGGCAGCACAGTTAGTAATGGTGGCTCCCTCTGGATTTGGCTCATGGCAGTGGGAGGGGGGACATTCTGTGCCTTCAAGCTTAAGGTACTCTATCTCTGTAGCCTTTTGAGAACACAGGGAGGTTGTCGTAGCCAGGTTAAGCGGAAGAAACAGAAGTTTTTCTGTGTGGCGAAGAGGCAAGCTGGGGATGAGGTAGCTTTCACAAGGAAAAGGAATGTTAAGAAGGTCATGGGCATTCTCTGAAGCTGTGAAAAAATAGCTTTGAATTTGTGATGGATAAACTGAGTTAAGGTACACAGGGCCAACCTTGGCTAGTAAGTGGTGGGATGGAAAGAGGAAGAGTGCAGGAAAACATTGAATTAAACCGTCACGTTCTGGTAGATTCTGAGGAGCTTCGTAAGGGTCCCATTGATGAATTCGTCAGAATGGAAAGGCTGAGGTGAATAGTTTGAAGCCAGAGGATGAAGGTGTTTAAGAGAGAGTTTTAAGACGTCAAGTCCAACCGAAGGAAAGAGAAAATCCAGTGGTAAGATGGGTAGGTCAAGATCCGTGTCTAGATACCCAGCCCAAACAAGAGGGCATCAGAATGCTGGCCTGAGGATAGAGAGGGAAGCAAGGCCCAGCACTGGGTGTAGTGCAGGTGGGCAAACCTCCCATGGTCTTGGTAGGTGGAGTGACTGAGGTCAGAGACATGCTCTTTCTTTGCAGGGTGCTCCAAATCAAGGAGATCAGGCAGCAGGAAACAGGTTCCAGGATAGTCGGCATGGTGGGGGCATCACCTTCTAGAGCCTGGGGGCAAGTAGCCAGTGGGGCACCGAGCACAGCCACTGAGACTGGAGAACTGGTTCCTAGGGACTAACAGTGTTCACCTTCGTGGACCAACCAAACCTTGTCCAGTGTTGGAGGTTCATGGGGCCTCAGCCATCCTCTAGAAGATCCTAGAATTTGCCCCAGCATGCTTTGCACAGGCACTGCATGGGAAATATTTCCTAAACATAGTGACTCCATGCTTGACCCATGCCTGTCCAGCTCTCCTGATCTGGGCTGTCTGGGGTGTCCGTTGTCGTCCTCCTGTGGGAGAGCGAGAGGGGGAGCAAGAGGATAGAGAGGACATGGTGGTGGTCCTTCAAGATTGCCATAGTGACCTTCTTTCCATGGAACAGGCGGGAAGGAGAAATGTGCATTCTTCACGTTATAGAATGGGCAGGAGCTGGACTTCGCAGGTGCCTGAACCAAGGAGCTCTAGATGAAGTTTTGAAGGCACTGGTTCTCTAAGGGGGGAGGAGAAGGAACCTAAGAAGGGTAGCCTCTGAGAAGAAAAGCACAGTGACCCTTTGCAGTAGCCTAGCTGGACAGCGTTATTCTCCCAGCTCTCCTTCAGCATTTCCACCTTCCTGTGCTTGGTGAGGCCAACACCATTCCCACGGCTTGGGCTGGACTCCCTGTCACCTCTTAAAATGTAAACCCTGCCTAGGTTCGATGCTACCCACTTTATCCAGGAATGCTCTTCCCCTTCTTAACTCCTAAAGTGACTGACTTGTACCAAGGTGATGGAACCACCAAGATAGTCTGGCTTGTATGGTAATGATGATGTCATTGCATCGAACCTAGGCATTAGGTTCCCACAGCAGCACACGGGACAGAAATCTCATGGGGTCAAAATGGTCTCATGAGTTTTACATCCTATAAACCTGATCTATTAAATTATCAGTATCTCATACATATAGTAATGCAGGATATATCATGAGTACATATGCAAATCATATTATACGCATTTTAAAAAACTATTCCATGATAGCAGTGTAATTTCTGTGCATTCCTTTAAGTCAAATATGCATTTGATGGGACACTCCTGAATCCAGTAATGCAAATTTATCAGCCCCACAATTTTGAAGGCAAGGCGCTGGTCTTACATAGCTTTGAGGTTCCCACAGTTATTTCAGTTGGGGTGAATGATGAAGCTGTGGTAACCAAAACTCCATCAATAATGTGGCTTACAGGACAAAGAGGTCTAGCCCCAAGTTCTAGACGGAGGGGAGTGCTTCCGGTTCGTGGGCAGGTTCCCGCTATGCTGTGGTTCCACCACGTTCTAGGGCCTTGCTTTCATTTCTGTGGTTGAGCTGGGTCACCGCCACATCCTGGCTCTTGTCCATGAGCGGGGAAAAGAGCGAGTGTAGGAATGGCTTCCCTGCTGCCTCCAGGGCCACAGCCCAGAAGTGGCAGCCATCACCCTTCTCCACGCCCCACCGGTGAGCCAGCCCTGTTGCCAACCTGACCGCAAGCAGGACTGGGAAAGGCAGCACGTGCCCACTCTTATCTCTGCTTCTGGGGAGGAAGGGGGTCACGGATTCCGAGGGGCTTCCACCACCCACAGCAGCCAGCACATCACGTCTCCCAAATATTTCCACAGTCAAGGAGACCTATGAATATAAGCAGTTATTAATAAAAGTTTAAGCACTAATCTTGCACTTGCAACATCTTGCTGTTATATTTTGATTTAAATTTAGCAAGGCAAGTTAGTCTAGCAAGTAATCAGGGACCTGTGAATTATTTATGCTGTTTTTAAATTTTTTATCACTCTAGGACTACAGAATTAAAAGAAGTTCTGTTTTCGTGGAAAAAGATCAGAACGGGCCGGGTGGTAACCTTGTTTTTCCTGCCAACCCAACTACTGACAAGCGCGCCACAGCGCACCTAGTGGCTACTGGTGGGATTGCATGGGTTGTGCCTAGGGAGAAATCCGCTGCTTCTGAGAAATGAGCTTTGCAAAATCAACCTGTTCTCACAACTAGAGGCCATTCGGCCCACCTCGCTCCCCCGACCCAGGCATTTGGGAATGTGGAAGGGGAATGGCTTGGGTTGTTCAGTCACTGGGATGTGCCCTCCGAGGACAGGAGGGTAAATGTCCTGCAATGCCCAGCACAGCCCAGCGCAAGAACTGACCTATTCAAAATGTCAGTGGTTCTCCTGCTGGTAAACACGGCAAGACTGTTACCTTCACCTTTTCGGGGGGGCGGGGGGGGGGTTAGCAAATTTTACATTTCCGTTTTCCTCTACCCAAACAGCTGATAGCAAGGAAAGAAATGTTCTGAGAGCCTTAAAAAAATGGCTACTGCCCTTCGCCCATTTTAACCATTCTTCTTTGTTTGGTGCATACGTGCTTTCCTTGTTTTTCAGAGTGTAAGGCAGGCCTCACCCCGATATTTGAAGCCCAGCTGAGCTTAGCCATACCAGAATTAGTTTTCTCTCCGCCCCTGGAGTATGGAGTGAAGGGTGGTTTCTATGATGCTGTTGAGGGTCTGGTCACCAGCATTTTTGGAATATCATCTCTGGTGCCACGGCTTTCCCCCCAGAACGGCTCTCCCCACTACCAGGTACTGAATCAGCAACCACCCTGCCTTCCAGCCCAATCTGCAAACTTCTTGCAAAGCGTGGCCATAACCGGCCTGCTGTCGCCTCGCCCCTCCTCCAGGTGGACGTGGAGGGCATGGCCCCTTTGGCAAGCATGAGGAGCACGCTCCTGGACAGGGTTCAGAGCATGATGGCCCTCTGCTGTGGCTATCGGAGTGCCTTCAGCCAGTATTCCTACCTCTACGTGGAGGACCGGAGGGAGATCCTGAGCCAGTTTCTGTTGTATGGGCGTGTCCTCACCCCCGAGGAGATGGAAGCCCACACAGAAGATGGCATTCCAGAGAATCATCCTCCCCTTCTCCATCAGTTTAAAGCGCAGATTGACTCCTACGAAAGGCTCTATGAAGAAGTGTGTAGGCTGGAGCCCATCAAGGTGTTCGACGGCTGGATGAAAATTGACCTCCGACCCCTGAAAGCGTCTCTGCTGAATCTAATTAAGAGGTGGAGCCTCACGTTCAAACAGCATCTCGTTGACTATGTCACCAACAGGTAATACCGTTGTTCTAGTTTCTTCCAGCCTCCCAGGCCGTTGGGGACTCCATGTTTGTCATCTTTTTCGTATTTTTCCCCGATGATGGGTTCATTGGTTCAATTCAAAATGAAAACTGCTGGTTAAGGTTCCAGGCCCTTGGACACCAGTGATAACTTTAGTTCTGCCCTTCCCTCGGTTCACCAGACGGGGTCTCTTTTTGTTTTATTTTCCATTTGGTGCCCCGTGTGTGAAAAGCACTCAGTAAGTGGTAAATAATGTTCTCTGCGATAATAGCAGATCCGAGCTCCCTTTGCCACTCTGACTGTGAAATCTCTTTAAGCCTGGGAAGCGGAGGGGGTCTAATGGGCCTCTTACATCTTATTTCTACCACTTACTCCTTGTCTCAGATTATCCAGCTGTGCCATGTGCAAGTCACTAAATCCCCACACGCCCGATGCCCGTCTGTGCCATCCTAGCCGTGGGACGGCCTGGATCGGCAATGGTCTGTTCCCCTGTGCACCTCGACTCTCCAGCGCCAGGCTCTCCCGGCCAGAGCATCGGCCTCCGGGTAAATGGGTTGGTGCACGGTCCCCCAGTCACGTCACCTTTGCCTCGCCCCACAGATCTGCCACCGTCAGAATCTCAACCACCAGCCCCACCTGGAAGCCTGCGGGGGAGGGGGGGTCATGGTCCCTCTGTGTAGCCCTTGGCCTTTGGGTGTCAGCTGTGTCCAGGAGAGCCAATTCGACCCCTTCCTTGAGTTTGGGGGTGGTCTTGCTTAATGCTACCACTATCTTGCTCACTGATCTAGCCCTGGGAGCAGAGAGGAGATGGCCCCCCCATCAAGGATGCATCGATTTGCCAATGAATTCGAGAGCCTTTGCGAGGATGATGATCCTCCTGCTTTAGGGAACTCCAGGAGAGCACTGTGGGATGTTTTAAGTGGATTTTCCAGGTGTTCTTTACGAAGGGGCCAGTTTCCCACATTCACAAGAACTTTGGCTCACTGAGGAACCGAGAGGCAAGAAAGGGAAGCGCTAGGAGGAGGTGGGGCAGAAGCAGAGATGTTTCTGAACGTAGCTGCTCCGTGGTCCACCTCCACTGGTAGGTCTGGCCATCCAAGGACACGCGGGCATGTTTCAAAATGTCAGTCTTATTATTATTTACGTGTGGCAGGGCCAACCGAGACTCAGTGGAAAATGACTGCCATTGGAAAGGTAGTTGGTTGTACTCATAGATTCTAAGACGACAAGACACACCATGTCCCATGGGGCCACACAGGGAGGCACTAGGGTCAATCAGGCAGAGGGAACAAAGGGAAAACGTGGGCAGGAGCCTTTATTGTGGTTTCCATGGAACAGAATTGTCAAGACAGGGTCAGCGGGATGAGGATGGACTCCTTTGAATGATTTCAGCAGGCTCTGGGGCCAGAGGGACTGTCTCTAGTTTTTTGGTTCCTGGCCCTGGAGTGATTAGAGCAGGTGGATAGTGGTCTGGAGTGTGAGAGCCAGATGGAGGAGGTGGTTAGAGACATGGACTCTGGTTTGATTAGTTTGCATAGGAAAGGCATGCTCAAGGGCAAGTCCCTTAGCACCTCTAGGAACAGGTCAGCCAGCCCTGGGAGAGGCTGGTTGGGGGACTGGCCCCTCTCCGGGGTGGGTAAGATCCCAGAGGCCAGCATCAGAGTACGTGGCTGATACAGGCTATAGTGATGACAGTGGCCATACCTCTACCAGGTACGGCTTCATAGGATCTACTGGTCAGCATAATAGGATAAACGCAGAGTTCTTGTCCTTTGACCCCAATTTCCTTATCCCTGAATGGAGACAATGATGGGATTCCTCTGCGGTGCCTTCCAGTGTTGTCCGTGTAGTGGTATCTCATTGTGGTCAGTATTTGGCATTCCTCTGATCATGAATAAAGTGGCTCATCTTTTTATGTTTCCTGGTGGGTTTCTGTGTTTCCCCTTCTTTGCCCGTACAGAGCTCTTGCCCACTTTTTAGCGGACTTTATTTTTTCCTTTCTGACATTTAGAATCTTTTCTTTCTGATATTTGATATATCCTGGGTCTAATCCTGTGCTAGTTGTATATATTGCAAATACGGTCTCCCACTGTGTGGCCTGACTTCCCACCCATTTACAGTATGTTTGCATCATCCCGTAGCCCAATGTGTTCGTCTTTTTTGTCGCATTCTTTTGTCTTGTTAAATAAATCCCTTTCCACCCTGAGAGCCTAATGATGCTCTCCTGTGCCCTCTCCTAAAAGATTTGTGGTTTTATCTTTTGCATTCAGTAGCCCCTTGTCTGCTGTTGCATTGTATGACAAAGTCCTAATTACTCTAGTTTTGTCCTAATTCTCGGTATCCGACAGGGCAAGTCCCCGCCTTGTTCATTGTCATTAAGACTGTCTCCAGGATTCTTGGCTCTTACTATTTTACATAAATTTAAGAATCCATTTGTAGGAGAATAAATGTGTTGGGATTTTGGTTATATTTGCAGTGACTATAGTTCAATTTGAGGACAGTGGGTCATCGTTATGCAGTGAGTGTTCCTGCCCAAGAACACTTCATCTTTCCATTTCTGTATGCCTTTAATGTCTTTCAGTGACATTTTGTAATCCTTACCTTTAAAATAAGTCTCATGTCTTTAAGATTCATTCCTAGGCATTTTAATTTCGGGCTCCTAGTATAAACGATTGTTTTAAAATTGTATTTTCTGTGGAAATGGAATTGATTTCTGTTTATTGATTTTGTATCAAGTATCTCTGCTAAATTCACTTATTAATTGCAATAATTCAGCTGTGCACTCTTTTGGATTTGCTGTTACATAGTCATCATCTACAAATTTATAATAGTTTTATTTATTCCTTCTCAGTGTTCTTGTTTTTTAAATGCATTTTATCACTATTTTTTTCTTGCCACACTGGCTAGAAATTGAGGTTTGATGTTGAATAAAGTAATGACAGGTACCCTTATCTTGTCCGATCTTAAAGGGGAATGCTACAACATTTCACCACTAAGCATAATATTTGCTGTGAGGTTTTATTTTTTTTTTTAAGATTTTATATATTTATTTGAGACAGAGAGCAGGGGGAGGAGCAGGAGAGGGATAAGCAGACTCCCCACTGAGCACGGAGCCCAATGTGGGGCTCGACCCCAAGACACTGAGATCATGACCTGAACCAAAATCAAGAGTCGGATGCTTAACTGACTGAGCCACCGGGTGACCCTTGCTATGAGTTTTTGTGGATTCTATTTATGGAATTAAAGAATTTCCCTTCTTTTTTTTTTTTTAAGTTTATTTATTTATTTTTAGTAATCTCTACACCGATGTGGGCCTCAAACTCATGACCCCTGAGATCAAGAGTCACATGTTCTTCCAACCAGGGGCCCCTAAAGAAATTCCTTTCTATTCCTAATTTGTTAAGGGGATTTAACATAAACGGAGATAACATTTTATGAAGTGCTTTTTCTAATTCCGTTAAGATAATTCTGTTTTTTTCCATCAAAATGTTAAAGTGGTGAATATACTGGTTTCTAATATTAAGCCAACTGAGTGTTACTGAGAAAAGCCCAAAAGCCCAACACAAAGTGTTATCTTTTCCAGTATATCCACTGATTGATTTTGTTTTCAAATATGTTTATTGTTGACGTGTCTCTGTTTGAGACTGAGATTGGCCTTCACTTTTCCTTTCTCGTACTTTCTCTGATCTTGCTCTGTGGTTTTGCTAGTTTCATAAAATGAGTTAGGAAGTAATCCTTCCTGTTTATTCTCTGGAAGATTTAGTGTAAGATTGGAATTCTCTGATCCTTGAAGATTTGATTTAAATCTCCTGTTGAACATCTGGGCTTGGTGTTTTCTTTCTGATGAGATTTTTACTTATAATTTCTCTGACGGTTATAGGGATATTAAGGTTTTCTATTCCGATTAAGTCATAGTTGTCTAGGAATATATCCACTTCATGTAAATCTTTAAATTATTGTCATAAAATTTATAATATTATCTGTTTACTCTCCCCAGAATCTATGATTACGTCCCTCTTCTCATTTCTATTCATGCTTTCTGACTACTTTGATTAATCTTGCCAGAGATTTACAAAGAACCATCTTATAAACTCATTGATCCTCTTTATTATAATTTAATTTCTATTTCAATAATTTCTTTTATGTTTATTATGTCCATCTGTTCCCTTGGATTTATTTTTTTCTTCTTGGAAAAGTTAAGATTGATACTTTGCTTCTTCACTTTGAGCTGTCTTTGTTAATGTAACAATTAAATTTACGAATTCCCTTCTCAGTACAATTTACCTACGTCTCACAGTTCTTAGTATGTAATATTTCCATTATTATTTAGTTCTAAATATTTTTAATATCCATGATGATGTGTTATTTATATTTAATATTTCCAAACATAGGGTTCTTCTAGTGATATTTTTTTAAGGTTTTAATTTTAATTCTAGTTTAGTTAACATACAGTGTTTTATTAGTTTCAGGTGTACAATAGAGCGATTGAACAATTCTCTACATTAGTGCTCATCACAACAAGTGTGCTCTTTAATCCCCATTGCCTATTTCACCCATCCCCCCACCTGCTTCTCCTCTGGTGACCATCAGTTCTCTCTAGTTAAGTGTCAGTTTCTTGGTTTGCCTCTTTGTTCTCCTTTGTTTGTTTTGTTTCTTAAATTCTGCATATAAGTGAAATCATATGGTATTTGTCTTTCTCTGACTGACCTATTTTGCTTAGCATTATACTACCCAGCTCCAGCCATGTTGTTGCAAATGGCAAGATTTCATTCTTTTTTATGGCTGAGTAATATTCCATTGTGTATATAAACCAAATCTTTTTTATCTGTTCATCTATTGATGGACACTTGGGCTGCCTCCATAGTTTGGCTACTGTAAATAATGCTGCCATAAATGT